ATTTTTGCCTTCTCACACACAACTGAGTAGGTCTTAAAAAGTGTGTAAATTTCCGTTAGTCGAATATTCCTGTCCATCTACTAACACTTAATTATTAATAATAACTGAAGCACTTAGTCTTATAGTGATAAGGATAGCTAAGTAGAATGTCTTTCAAAAATAAGTAACATTAACAAAACGTTACTGTGTAACGGAGTAAACAATCATACACTCGCAATTACACAATACAGTACTAGTATAAACTATTATGCAAAGATGAACAATCACAATACTCAATACTCAATAGGCGCGATAATAATCACTTGTATAGTTAAAGGGGAAGTCAAGTCCGTTCTGCGCATCGGTTCTGCGCATAACAATAGAGGGCCCTCTGAGGTAAACATTGCCCAAATTCTGAATGTTTCGAATTTTTCTGAACACAAACTCTATTTCATATTCATGTAGAAGCATAACGAACCAAAATGGTGTTAGATATTCAGACAGTACATCATATTTTAAAAAATACAGCAGTTCAAAATGTAAACAAACCGTTTGTTTACATTACGGACTTGACTTCCCCTTTAATATTTTGTAGTTGCCGAGACACTTTTGTCACAATTGTTTCTGACAATTAATCTATTATCTGTATGATAAAGAAGAAGTTCTGCAGTATACACTGTACTATGCATACTATAAATACAAATATTATATAAAATTTAAATATTAAATCCCAAAATATTGGATAATCCTGCTGTCCTACAGGCTATATCCGTATGAAAATGCACTGTTGGTATACGTATATAACTGATGCTAGAGATTTTTTACCTTGTATATTATTATATCATGCATGTGCATGCAGTGTAGCACGCTTTTCAGCAGCAAATTTTCGTTCTCTGTTTAGATTTTAATATAATTATACGAAAATCTAAAAAATAATATAATTTCAAAATCGAAAGTCCAAAGTCCAAAGTCCATAGTCCAAAGTCCAAAGTCCAGTCCAAAGTCCAGTCCAGTGTTTACAATATGCCCGTTTGAAACGTAAACAAACGCGCGAAAATGTTTGCGGTTTGTGCTTGGACGAAAATTGCTGTATCACACAAGCAATTTAGAAATATTTCTTCAGAAATCTTGTCTGGATGAATGAAAGTTTTCTTCAAAGCTTCGAAGTAAACAGGCATGCAGAAACACACAAACAAAAACACTAGGTTAAATTTTAACAAGGATTAGCCTTAGCTTAGAACAACCGACCCCTGGTCAGCCTACAAATATTAAGGTAGTAGTAGTAGTAGTAGTAGTAGAACTTTATTTATCCACGCTGACCCCGTCAACCGTAGCTGATTTCCACGGGGGGCGTGTGCCAGAAAATTATTTTACATGCAGAATATGATAAGGATAAGCTAAGCTATTACAGTAATATATAAATTTAAAAGATATAACAAATGTTTTGAGCTATTTACAGGTAAGTTATATTTATTATAAGTAATAGCATGGCTTGAGGGAGATTAGTGATTAAATGGCCCCGTAACCCGAGGCAGGTTTGCGGAATTCCCGAGGGCGAAGCCCGAGGAAATTCCGCAAACATGCCGAGGGTTAGGGGTCATTTAATCACTAATCTCCCGAAAAGCCATGCTATTAGTTTGTAATAGCATAGTTGCGCTCCCATTTAAAAATGGACAAACGTGCCCTACTTGGAATCAGCGTATTTAAGCTAAAACATTTGCTTCATTGCTTGTGG